GTGCAGACAGGAGGCGGAGCAGGAGGCGGTGCAGGAGGCGCTGGCGGCCGATCTGCTCACTCAGACACACCAGCTGATCCACAGAGGAATCTGAATTATGAGTTTAATTTAAAAATAATAAAAATTTTTCCTTAACGCTGATTGGCTGAAACTCCCAGAGCGAATACGCAGGCCAAGAAAACAATACTAAAAAATAAAGCAAATAATGTTCTTTTTTAGAGATACTAATAAATATCTCCAGAGGTCATGAAAGGTCATGAACGGGCTGGGGGGCTCGTTGGCCTTTCATGACCTCTGGAGACATTTACTGATGTCTCTAAAAAGATCGCAGCACAAACTAAAGTGTTTGCTGCTCAACGTTTGAACCTAGTTTGTTGGATTTGATGACGGTGGAGCGAACTGCACTCAGCTGGATAGCCAGAGCAAAATCTGATGGTTGAATATCAGATTAGAAACTATAAACATGTCTGTTTTTCAGCTCCACTAAACATTTAATGGAGTCTGATTTTATTGGCTCTAAGCTCCTAAATGCCTGTCCTCCAAAGCGACGCCTCCGTCTGTTTCTCTGGTCTTAAAGCTTCAGATGGTTCATAAAGAACCAGTTTCCCATCTTTGTTATGAATATTAATACGATTTAGAACCGGATCCTTCCCAAGTCAAACGGTTGCTTTGTATCCGTCTTGGAGCGTCGGCGCTTGATTCCTGTCGTTAAAGTTTCCGTTCAGGTTGATGGGGTCCGAGCATCTGAAGCGGGGGATTTCCAGTTGAACCGGGACAGAGCTTTGGAGCTCAGAGGGAAAAGGAAGAAGGCATTTAGGATTCCTGGCGCAGCTGGGAGGCTCAGAGCCAAATTGGGCTTACCTATCGACCGGCACGCGGCTCCCAGGGCCCGGTGGAAAATAACAAGAGATTAGCAGTGGAAGTGGATGCATTAGGAAACCAGGCGTTGGACGGAGAACTACAAAGGCTGGCGAAAAGATAAAAACGGATCAGATGGAGATACGGACGCAGAGAGCGATGGAGGGAGGAAGAGAGGAAACGACTGCTGCTGCTGTAGAAGGACAACAAAGGTTAGAAAAACAGAAACGGGTCAAACCTGGAGGGTCCAAACACCTGGATCCATGGTTCACCTGGATCACCTGGGCTGCGTCAAACTCTCTGGACTCGTCATCCTGACCGTGCCGATTCCTTCACCTGACGCTGCACGGCGTCCGTTTGTTTGGCTGCAGACGCGTCTCTGTGGAGGAGGAGGTGTTCCCACTGCGAGCGACAGAGAGATGGAGAGATTAGCTGTGGAGAGGGAAGGAAAACAGCCAGCGGTTACAAAAAAGGAGAGATGGAGATAAAAGACAAGAGGAAGGCGTAGAAAATAGTTTGGTCAACTGTGAAGCTGTGAGCGATAAGAGATGAACTAAAAAGCGAGATTAGAGAGGAAGTGTATGGAGGGGTGAACGAGACGCGACAGGAAGACGGAGTTCATCATGGAGGATAAAACAGGCAGCAGCCGCTGGAGCCGCCGTGTTTTGGTGTTAAAAATGTTAAAAGTTGACAGGAATTGAGAAAAAATGATAAATATTTGACTTTTGAAGAAATGATTCATCTGGAGTCTGAAAAAATGGAAACACAAATATACAAAGTAAACATCAAATGTTGGTACCTCCGTTAAATCCTAAATATTTTAAAACCATCTGTGCTGGTCGTATTTAAAAGTAAAATGAATGAAAATAAATATTACCTAAGATGGGTAATATTTATAGTCTACTAAACCAGCAACAGTTTGGATCAAAGGTAAGAATAAAGCATATCTTTATTCTTTACTAAATACTCTCAGGATACAAAACTGAAGTATTTTTGTAGGTACATTTTCTACAGTTTTTTTAATTACCATGTTTGTTCAGCATAAATTTTCTGGCTGTGATTGGCTGCTATTTGTTCAGGTATTACCCTGGATTATTGTTAATCCAGGTGTGAGTTTGTATTTACCCAGAATGCCCTGCGCTGTAGTCCACTTCCTGCTTTTGGAGCGGTCTCTGGTCCGCTTGGTGTTCACATTCAAACTGAACCAGAGTTCAGTTCAACCAAACCCAGACCGAGGTCTGGAGGACCAGAGGTCAGAGGTCAGTTAGCGTTCACACCTCACCGACCCAAACACCAATAAGCAGACTGGCGTCAGATTAAAGCGGACTGGAGTCAGGTGTCCGTTGCTTTGGACACGGTGGTGCATGGCAGTGATGTGGGACGGGTTGATTTTCATGCATGCTGCCCCTTTTACTCTGACGCCCTCCAATATAGTAAAGTGCCACTAACTGCCTCCATCAAAGCTGAGATTTCTGACCTTCACTGATCTGACTGGTTCTGGTTCTGACCCAGCTGGGCTGAGTCAAAGCGATAATTAAAGGTGTAGCCCGGATGTTTTTGGCTGTGAGAAGACGTGAAAGCTGCCCTGCTGTCGCGTCCATTAGTAGTAAACATGAGGCCAGTTGATCGGAAAGCTTTTTATTCTTCGGCTGTTTAAACCAGAACCAGATCCCCATCTGGCTGCCAACCGATTCACGTCTGATCGTCGAGTTTCTCACAGAAACGGCGTCATGTGTGTTTGGAAATCAGGGTGATGAAAGCGGCGCGAGCGAAGCGTGACGCTGCTGATTTATCGTCGCGTTGAGAGGAAAACACGCCAGGAATCCTGAGTCAGGAATCAGACTGCTGGTTGGCTCAGCGTGGGAATCAGGAGGCACCCGGGCCGGTCCGGGACCTCCTGCTGGGCCGGGAGCTGGTCCGGTTCTGGTCGGACCAGGCCGGACTGAGTCGGGCCGGCTCCCAGTCCCAGCCTGGCTCCTCTTAGAGCTCACATTTTGAAACCTAATATGGTCCTAAATCAGATTTCTAAATGTTTAGGTGTGTTATGAGAAGCATGTTTTGTGTGCGTGTGTGTGTGTGCGTGAACCTGGTTTTTATATCTTTGTGGGGACCCATTTCTGACTGCATTGAGGAGTTGCGGGGACCACTGCTTCTTGTGGGGACAAATCCTGGTCCATGAGGGAAATGCTGTTTTTGGGTCAGGGGCTAGGTTTAGGCTGTAGAAATGGATGGAAGTCAATATGAAGCCCCCACAAGACACGAAAACATGAGTGTGTGTGTGTGTGTGTTTTGATTTCCTCTCAATAAACATCAGACTCTTTTACAGGGAGCCAGTGTATACACACACACTCACAGGGTGTCAGTTCGTGTTGCGGTGTGTCCGTTGCTCCGATGGCGTCCAGGAAATGCGACGAGCTTTTAATTTGTTGATGGAAGGAGAAGATGATTGTTTCCCTCGTTCACGTCTCCGGGTTTTTGGAAGTTTTGCCCAAAATGTTGTTGCCATCAGAGCAGTTGGAGTGTTTGTGTGCTTTGGCGTCGCTCTGTTTGTCTTAGCATGTTAGCGTGCTTCTGTGCATGTGTGTGGGCTGCAACGCTGTGCCTACCGTTCTCACGCTCATCCTGCTGCTGCATTCAGAGAGATGCAGAAAAACACCGGAACAGAACCGGAACATACCCGGGCCGAACAGAACCAGACTGGTACCAGAACAGAACCAGCCCAGGGTTTTATGGACATGCTGAAAAATTAAAGCCATAAACGTCATCAGTGTTCAAATACTCAAGTGTTTATGGGGCCCGATGGTGAAGTTAGAAAGTCAGTTGGTTATTTAGTCATAAAAGAGTAAAATGAGGTATATTCAATTATAAATGTTATTAATTCAGTCATAAATGTCACAATTTCAAACTAAATATGTAGTTAAGTCGGAGCAAGCTAAAGATTTTGTTAGCTCTAAGCTAGCTAACTAAATATTTAGTTTAAACCTAAATATTTAGTTTAACAACTAAACATGTAGCTTTTGTGCAGCAAAAATTTTTGTTTGTGCCACTGTCACATTGGAAACATCTGTAGATGTTGCACTTTGTATTGCCTTGTTGCTGAAAATGTGCTATATAAATATAATTACCTTTTCCTTTACCAAGGGTCATGAAGGGTGAATCAATCCCCCCATCTTTCTTCAAATCTTGTCAAAGTTTGTACTGCAAAGATTTTGTTGTGTTGCACAAATTGTGTTTGTGCTGCTATGGATTTGAAGATATTAATGAAAGTTTAAAGGCAAAAAGGTCAACCAGCTCTCCCACATTAACCAAATCTAACATTACATTACGTTTGTGCAGCAATCACATTTTTTATTTCATGCTGCTCTATGCAGATGCTCAGTCTACACCGATGAAAACTTATCTTTACCTCCAAAGATAAAGGTAAGTTTAAGGTAAGAAAATTTGCTGTTTTAAGCAGACAGTGAATTTTCCACCTTTACGCCCTGCATACCTGCACTATACCAAACTGTTTCTTCACATTTAGCCTTCAGTTAAACACATTTCAGAGAAAATGGGAAACATTGATTGAGTTTGCATTAGCATTAGCACCTGCTTTGTTTCATGTCAGATTTATAACCTTCCTGTTTCTCTCTGCAGGGATTTAAACAAAAACAACATCACCAGAATCACTAAAGTGGACTTTTCTGGACTGAAGAACCTCAGGATTCTGTAAGTTTGGTTCTTTTTTCTCTGTAACTAAAAATAGAAAATGTTCATAGCTCCTGGGAAATGTGATGGCAGGTCTGGTGTTTACTAGAAATGAACCTTTTATGAGAAGAATTAAAGAACTTCAAAGAACCTTAAAGTCCAGTTTGATCTCAAAAAGCTAAATAATCTAATAGTGGGAATAGATTCTTTGAGCGGCTTTTAAGCCAAAAGGAAACATTGCAGGAAACAATTATCTCTATTTTGTTTTTCAGTCTAAAACCTTCTCCATTAGGAAGCCATCTTTCATCTTCCTGCTTTAAATCAAACGTCTCTTTGGGCAGAAATACATTTAATATCTTCACATCGTATCTGCTCTGCTCCACTTTTGCTGTCAGTTTAAGATCCTGGAGCTTCCAGAAATTCAGCTCTGCATAAATCTCTCATAAAATAGTATTCACATCCTTTAGATTCTGCACATTTTCTCCTGTTAATTTGTTCTCTTTTGATTTTAAGAAACACAAATGTTACTTGATCCCCTCCATGGTGAAACATGGTAGTGGCAGCATCATGAGCTGGTTTTCCATCCAGCCTGCCTGAGTGCAGACAAGCCAAGAAGATTTGCAACCAGACGATTGGCTGGATTTAAATGCACACCGCACCATTCAGACTTTATTTGTAAAAAAAATACAGAAATTATAAAAAAATAAATAAAATCACTTTCACAAAAGCTGCTGCACTTCCATTACAAATGGGTGCAAAACTTTTACAACTTTTATAATATTAAAAAGACTGGACTGCAATTGTTCTGTTTCCATTAAATAAGAAATTAAATTAAAATTTCATGAATAAACTTGTTCATGCAAGGTAATCATGGATGTAATGGATGTAAACATGACATATTTATAATTGTCTGAAGCAAAAAAATGTTTCCGTTGCAGTTTTTGCTAAATACACAAATTTAGATACGACTGAGAAACCAGTTGAAAACCTGAGTTTTTCTAATGTGTGTTTCCATTGAAGCCACTTTTTGTAACTTTTACAAAAATAAATGTTATCCATATTTAAGCTACATCTATGTTATGACAGTGTGATAACTATCTCACTGTATAATCTCGTTCTCCTTCCTGAGCTGCTGACGTCTGAAGAAATGCACCAAAAACAACCAATCAGAGGTAGGAGGCGGGTCTTATCACCATCAATCAACCTCCTCCATTTAGCAATGCTAAATGTGCTAACAACTTACCGTTACAGGAAAACCGTTTTTGTGTTGGAGATGCAGATGGATGGTTCAGACCAGAGCATGCTCAGACCAAGCTGTGGTCTGAGCATGATTGACAGCGCTAAGACCCGCCTCCTGCCTCTGATTGGTAGCTTCTAGCTAGCACTGTAAGAAGACAGAGGAGTTTTATTTTATTTTTCTTATACTATTATGAAATATGTAAAAACACTTTAAAAAAAACAATAAAAAAGTTGCATTCTGCAGCTTTAGATTTATGTTTGTAATTCCAGTTTTTGGATTTTTATCCAGGTTCAGGAGGTGTGAATGCTTCTGCTCCGTGTTTTTCTGCAGCCTGTACTTTCATGCCTCCATGCTGCAGTAATTAAGGTGCTGTTATATTTACCTAACGGGCCTCTGGGTGCCTAAAGGGCCAAGCAGATCCACGTCTTAACGAGGCTTCCAGGTCCAATGACGATGCACGGGCCCTGCAAACTTTTACAAGCTAAGCTAACCTAGCATAGCAGCCATAAGCATCAGGACGGTTTACAACTTCTGCGCAACTGTTGGCAGTGAAAGGTCAAACGAACAAAGAGTTTAATATCCAGATTTACAATGGCTTAAAAAATTATTCACATTCAATGATCTTTTCCATATTTTGTCACATTATAACCACAAATATAGAATACTAAATAATAAATTAATGTGAAAGACAAAGTGGTTTCCATGGTGACGTAGAAAGATACAGGAGCGTGATCTGCGAACGAACGCAGTGCTTGAAATGTCTGTACTCATCTGTTTCCTGCTTTAACTGAGCCATGGTGAAATAACGTGGCTGCTGATTGGTTCTTCATGTTATTTCCTGATCATTGAAACGTTTGACCTCAGCAGAACGAGACGCTTATCTGCTGCCCTAATTCACTTCACAGGCTCTCACTGTTTACGCCTAAAATGTGTGTGTTTGCGTTTGTGTGTGTGTTTGTAATACCGTATGGGGACCATTTTCCTGACACTATGTTGTGGGGACCCACTGCTCCTTGTGGGTCCGAAGCCTACGCTGCTTTTGGGTCGGGGGTCAGATTTAGGTCTAAGGTGTGAATTGAGTTTTGGTTGGTTAGAGTTAGGATGTAGACATGAATGGAAGTCAATGGAAAGTCCCCACAAAGATAGCCACGTAAACGTGTGTGTGTGTGTATGTGTGTGTGTATGTGTGTGTAAGGGCTTTAATAACTATAATCACTGCTGGCTGCATGCGCTCCGTTTTAACCAGAGCAGCAGATAAAAATACCCAGAGGAGAGAAACGAGTTCCTCCAAAACGATTTTCACTTCATCTGATTTTTTTATCTGAATCACAATAAGCAGTGTTTGATTTCATTGTGTCGGCGCGGAGAGACAGAGGGGCGAGCGAGGGGAGTGTGTGTGTGTGTGTGTGCGTTTGTAGGTGTGTGTGAGAGGCCAGCGGTGTGTTTCTTGTGGTCAGAGACGAACTGCTGCGACGTTCGCCTCCAAACTGGGAGGAGAAGTCCTGGGAAAAATGGGAAACCAAAAATATTCACACCAAGTGAAGATTCAGAGCTAACAGCCATTCGGCCGAACGAAAAACCGTTCAACAGCCTCAGTAACCAAAATTACATTATAACATTATTGATCATTCAGCTTAGACAGGGACAGCAGGCAATAGGGGCAGGTAGGATAATAAAGTTCAAGCTAACGGCTTGTTCTGGCTGCCATCTTTTCAGCGAATGATCAAACTCATTTTAATTTATCATGCAATCAATTAATTTATTGATTATTGAGGCACAAACAAAAAACTGAGCATCAAACTTTGACGGGTCTCGTGTGACAGTGAAACCCAGAGACAAACACTCGTGACTCTGACTCGGGTTTTATGACGAAACTTTGACCTTTAACCTGAGATGAAATAAGGTGCGTTTGTTTTATTATCCAGGACGTCTGTGGGCGGTTCTTAACGTGTCAGCATTAAATCTGAGTAAAAATATTTTTCACTCGTGAAGTCAGCATCTTTACAAAATAAAAGCATTCTTACTAATTCAGTCACGACTCAGACTGAGAGGAAAACTTCATTTAGTTTTCCTTGCTGTGAATAAATGAATTATTTTAGCTTAAAGACGGCGTTAACAGGTAAAATAAAACTGATTTGGTGTTTCTGCTGCCTCTCAATAATATAGACTACCGTATTTTCTGCACTATAAGGCGCTCCTTATAATCTGGTGCCCCTTATATATGGACCAATATTGAGCCACAACAGGTCTAGCAACTACGGTAAGCAGCCGCCCTTCTCTGTTCGCCCACAGCATGTTGGTGGAGAACCTGGTGCTAAACGACCTGCAGACGACCTGATTACAGACGGTCGGTAGGTAGATAGGTCAGTCAAACTTTATTAACAAACCAGCGTTCTGACAACTATCCCAGCATGCACCGCGCGCTTCTTCTTCTTCTTCTATGGGTGAAAATGGTCGGTGAACATCGTCCGGCCCCGGCCCGGTCAGAAGGCTCTCCTTGCTGACCGGAGTCGGACTGTTTTGTTGACATTCACTTTAGTGCAGCTCCATCTAGTGGATGCATAACGTAACTCCAGCCTCTACTGTAGCGTCTATTCTATGGGCCTTATAGTGCGGAAAATACTGCAAACAAAATAAAAGCTCTAGTTTCCTGATTTGTTGCTATCTGGGAATCTCCAGCCTCGTCATCAGAAGTTGATCTGTAAGCCGCATTAAAAGCATCCAGCAGTTTCCCATCTGGCTGCTGCTAACTCTACGGTTAGCATAGCATCTCTGGCAGCCTCACAATCCCAGATCTCTTCCAGACTGGATTCAGAAACAAATCCAGATTTAATGAAAACTGGAGTTTGCTCAGGAGAAGCTGGATGGTTGATGTGGTTTCACACTCAGCGCAGCACTTTGGGTTCTCTGAGCAACTTTAAAAAAATGTGACCTGCAACAAATCTAACAACTTTAAACAACAAAAATGAAGTGGCTGTTGATAAATCTAGCAATTTTTTTTGTCATTAGTGATTTTCAAGTGTTATGCCTGAGCGTTGGGTTTACGCCCCCAGCCATTACCAATAGGAAAACTCACCTGCAGTAGCCACTGTTCAACCACAGAGGGCAGCAGTGAGACATCTTCAGGCCAAATATTGCAGAATTTAACAAATCTACACAAAAATACCCCAACTTGCAACAACATAACGATGGAACCATTAAAGACCAACTTAGACATTTTAAGAGCAAAATCAAGTTAATTTACCCGACGGGTTGGTAGAACTGCTGATGCGTTTCGGTTCCTCTGTTTCCTCGTTTTTAGCTCTTATAGGACAGAAATCCTCCGCCCTGCTGTCTGCTGAGACGTTCTTTCTGCTCTGTCGGCTCCATCTGGAAAACCTTAGCAGCGCGTCCCACACAGAGCCGGGACAGGAACGCTGGAGATGTTGGTCTGCAGGAACCACATGAAAGCCCCGAGACAAATGGGGGAAATTTGCTCTAAAGAATTGGATGTTAATTATTTGTTTTGGCTGACTAGATTAAAACATTTGTTATGCAGAGTGTTGGTTTCAGATCTGTTCGCTCCGCTGACTCTCTGTTTACTCAGCCGGTGAAGTGTCTGCTGCAGCCAGACGGGACATTTCTCTGCTCTGTAGAGTGTGAAAACTAACAGGTTCTTCTCCAGGGGTATGAATACTAATGGTCTTGTGTCCAGGGGTATGAATACTAATGGTCTTGTGTCCAGGGGTATGAATACTTATGGTCTCTGTGCCGTTTTGTCTGCTGCAGCCACCTGGAGGACAACCAGATCAGCGTCTTGGAGAGAGGAGCCTTCCAGGACCTCAGGCTGCTGGAGAGGCTGTAAGTTTTCACACATCCAGCCAAAGTATTCACACCCTGAACTCTTTCCAGTGAGTGTTGCTGGGATTTTACTCTAACACCCTAAAATAAAAAGCACCTGGCAGTTCTGGAAGCTGATGTTCTGGTGCAGAAAAACCCAGAAGACGCGTAGCCAGCCATTACTGACTCACAACGAGATGAATAGAAATGCACTCCACACTTTTCAGATTATTTGTTTAAAAAATGTTGAAAATCAACAATCTGTTTCATCTGACGCCGCCATGACGCTCTGGTTTGAGTTACTGTCACATAAAGGTCGGTTTAAAACGCACAAACGTTTTTTGGTGCGTTCTCACCAAACGCATTTCGCATGTCAGCCGCACCTCAGCAATCTAGCGCGGCGTTTTGAGCACTTGATGCGTCCAGCGCTTCCAAGAAATATGCCGGCAATGGAAAACAACGGCTAGGGCGCCTGACACGCCCTCGCTGCGCTTCAACACAGACTGAATGCAAACCAGAAACATGTTGATGTAGAGCAAAATGTCAGGCCTCTGCATTCAAACACGCGTCGACCTCGAAGCATCGGACGCGTTTTTGATGCGCGTAACTGTCATGATCTGTGGGTTTTGGTGAGGTGAGGGAAGACGCAGCCAGGCCAGGATGAAGTGAAGATGATGATTTAATGACAATAATCCACGGGAGAGAACAATGAACACACGACGGCACAGGGAAGCTGGCTGGTTCCACACGACCAGGATCCGACAAGAGACAAAGACAACAGGTGGGACTAAATACACGGGGAGGGAAATCGAAGAAACGAGACACAGCTGGGATCAATCAACAGGGAAGACAGAGACCCACAGGGGAACAGGCTAATAAACACAGAAAAACTTCAAAATAAATACACAGAAAACACAGATCACAACAGTAACATGTTTGGTGTGAATGCAGCATTCGTAACGATTAGGGCTGCTGGGAAAAAAATAATTCCAAATTTAAACTCAATATCTGACTTTTTCTCAGAATTTTGACTTTTTTTTCTCAATTTCCAAATTTTTTTTCTCAGATTTCTTTTGATCTCAGAAGATTACAGTCATAATTTTAGTTTTTCTTCCAGTGGTTCTAAGCTTCTGCTGTGACATGACAGGAAAAAAGTTTAGGCGGTGTGAAAAGTTCTGCAGGACCGTATTCAGCTTCCTACAGCTGCTCAGCGATTTGCTCTGGGATTTGTTGATATAGCAGATTCAGAGTCACACACACACACACACGCATGCGCGCGCACACACACACACACACACACACACACACACACCTGCAGGATGAGGCTGAATCCACATTTATCCCTGTAAAAACTAAACAGTCACATATTTCAGATAGTTTAGTCTGTAAATGTTTTGGTTTTATCTGTAAATGGAGATCAGCTGCTGATCTGAAGATGAGGAGAAATATTTAATATTTAATACTTTTGGGTCAAAACTACAACAAAAGAATTTTTTCTGGTTTTAATGTTTTATTACTCTGACTTAAATCTGAATTTAAGAACTGTAAAAAGATGGAGGTTGATGTAAACCTCATAAAGATGCTGCACAGATGGTTTAACTTGAAAGTCAGCTAGAATATCTGTTTTTAGTGCTGATCGCTCTTCTGTCTTGAGTTAATTTTATACTGTAATTTAAACCAAATAATTATCTCATAAAAACTGTTTCAACAGCTAAACAACACATTTCTGGATTATTTTCACTCACATTATCAAGTTAAAATAATTACTGTATTTAAATTATTATTCAGCCTTTACTTTTCAGCAAGATATAAGAGCTGCTTTTAAGTCAATATCAATGAGAGTGTTGATTTTAAAAAAGTACCAGTTCCATTAGCAGATTATTTCACTCATAATGAGACATTTTTTCATGATAAAAGTGAAATAATCTGAGATTTTTTTTTCACAGAAAACTTGGCGGTCGGTTCACCAGCAGCTGCCATGTTTTTGAGTTAAAAAATGTTTAAATGTCACAGGAAATGTCAAAATATGACTTAGCAGTTATGAGTTATTGGCAAGATATTATTAACAAAACCTAAACACCAACTTTAAAAAAGGCAAACATAAAAAATACTCTTGAAAGAAATTTATAAGCCTGGTGGGGAGCAAGTAAAGTCTGGCGGCTGCCAGGCTGATGATACACTAGAGGAAATCCTGAATCTGCCAGAACGTTTTCATCAATATTAAGGAACTGTTTACTTAAAACAAGCTCCTGTATCTTCCTGAAAAGTTACCTGTAAGTTAGATTTGTCTTATTTTAAATGTTCTAAGGTATTTGCAGTAGAAACTAGACTGAAATATTTGTTAATATTTTGTGTTTTTTCATAATTTCATGTGGAGTATCTCCTCCCATCAGGTTATCCAGTCAGAAACGGTGAATATGTCTTTGTTGTTGTCTCTGCTTGGATCAGAGTGAAAGTCCAGGAGGATTTTTCTCTCTGTCTCGGAGGTCAGAGGTCTGTGTCTGTGTCTTCTCCAACACTAACTCGATGCCCCGTGACCCCGTGACCCAGCCCTGCATCTCTTTTTCCCATCCACGCCTCATTTCTCAGCCGGCCTGATAACGCGCTCACTCCCTCCGCTCGCGTTGTCCTCGTTTATCTTCTGCTCACATGGGAACCAGGAGAAGACACATCTCTAACATCTGACATGTTTTATGCTGCAAGAGCCGCAGCTGATAAAACACTTAAAACCTTTATTTGTGGCTAAATTTTGTCCTCCATCTTTACTGGCTTCTTTTCTCTGTTTTTCCAAATCAGAGTGAATCAAAAACAAACCCAGCATGAATTATTATTGTCATTGTTATTATTTTACTCATAGATTTTTTAAATAAATTTCTCATCTCAGGCGGTTGATGTAATCTTGTGGTTGTTCTTATTTTCCCTCAGAGTTGTATTGGTGTTTTTTGGAGCTGTGTGTGTTAAACCTGACTGAGTTTTATCAGTAAAATGTGTAACATAAACTCTGACATCGCTCACATTCTCATTCCTGGCAGACATTAATGAGGTCAGGAAGTTTTTCTTCCACCCAACTTTCTTCTGTTTTCATACAGTTTCTCCCAAAACAAACTAACAAAAAGTTTTTACTCAGTCTTATCTGAGGATGAAGGTGATGATGAGGAGTTTTAAATCACTGACAACCTGCAGGAGACAGGTCTGATTGGTGCGTCCAGGTGTGGTCCACCTGGTCCTAACCTCCATGTTGTTTCTGTCCCTGCAGACGCCTGAACAGAAACAAGCTGCAGTTCCTCCCAGAGCTTCTCTTCCAGTCCAACCCCAAACTGGGCCGAGTGTGAGTCCTCCTTATGGTTCCCTCCTTATGGTTCCCCCCTTATGGTTCCCCTCTCTTGTGTTGTGTGAACAAACATGGCCGCCGCGCCGTGCTCCTCTGGCTGCTCAGGTGAACTGAATGATTCTGTCTGGGAATCTGGAGTTTTCCCAGAAAGGTCAGAGGTCAGAGCGATGCAGCAAAGCCTCCTACTTCTTCTTCTTCTCTTTTTTATCTCGTCATCTCATTCTTCCATCGACCTGGTTTCTCCTCGCTCAGCTCAGGTTGAAGAACCTTTTTACTGGTTTTACTGGTTTTGCAGTCTGGATCTCTGATTGTTCTTGTAGTTATTCCTGTTTGTGTGTGTGTGTGTGTGTGTGTGTGTGTGTGTCAGCGGGGCTTGAATAGTAAAACATGCAATATGACTGCTGACAGTAACAGTTTTAACAATTATTCACAGGTATTTATTTATTTATTTAGTTCATTTTTTAGTATTTTGTTTTTTAATTAACTAACTGATACATTTATTTATATTATGTTTTTTATTTTGTATCTGTTAAGTAATTCGTTTTACTTTTTTATTTTTGTTTTTTTAATTAGGTAATTGTATTTATTAACTTTAGTTTTTTTAAGTTTACTTATTTATGTTTTTTATAGTTATTTTTTTCATCAAAATTGATTTTGATTAGTTATTCAGCATTTATTTTTATTTAGATAGAGAAATAAGAACTGATGAGTAAATATTTTGACCAACTTTTCAACAGTAACCAGTTTCTGATTTTAGCGGTGATGTCATCGATGACATCACACTTTCATTTACAAACATGCTGGTTTCTTATTAATTATCAATCAGTCTCTGAAGCCTCCAGCTGGTTGAACCCAGTGAACCTGGAGCCGCCGGTGTCTCTGCAGCGCCCCCTGCGTGCGGCGCGGGGCGCTGCAGAAACAATGCTGCTCCGTTGTTCTTCCATAAAACCTCAAACTGCTCTCCTTCGTTTGGATTTTCCTCCTTTTTAGCTCGGATCTCCACGGACGGATCAGGAGAACGGAAAGCGATGAACGCGATCCAAACTTAACATCATAAATCTCATGTTCTTTATATCCCAACGTTCCCATCAGCAGAATTTAAATTACACTCTGGACTTTCTTCTCTGTCACTTTTACTGATTTTCTCTCCAAAACTCGACAGTTTTTCCTCTTTTTCTCAGGAAGAGGTGATGATGTGAACGTCTGTTGGTGTAAAACAGAAAGAACAGAAATATGTTTCAGGATGAAGGTAGAGAAGGACGTGAAACGGGGGATGGGGGCTGCTGGTGGCTTTCTGGTTTGGATTTGCAGCCTTCCTCCCTGTCAGCCTTGGTTAGATATTAAATGATGGTAGTGTGATAGGAATTACCTCTTAACCCTCCTATTAAAGCCGTGTGGTCTGAGGTTTGGAGAGGAAAGGAGCTGGAGCGCCGACCAGGAGAAGAGAAGCAGGAGGAGGGGCGGCCATGTTTCTGGCTGATTTACCTCTTTATGAACTTTCATTTTTCTGCTTGAACAAAGCAACACATGAAGCATGAAGACATGAAAACTTCCTGCTTTAATGGAAAACGTGACTTCAGGATGGAGCCTGGGGTTCTTCCAGGTTCTAGCTAAAGAACCCAGAACCAGGAGCCACTGCAGTCTGTGGTTGCTTCCCCACGGAGAGCGCCGTCTCTTTAAGAGGCCTTAAGCCTGAGTTACACCAGCGCTTTAAGAGGTTCGCATTAATCCAACTCCAGTCCGATTGCCTAAAGAGTCCGGTCCGGTTGGTGAGGTGTGAACGCCAATTGACCTCTGACCTCTGGACCTCCAAACCCCAGTCTGGGTTCGGTTGAAGTGAACTCTGGTTCGGTTTGAACGGAGACCGCTCCAGAAGCAGAAAGTGGACTATGGAGCAGGGCATTCTGGGTAAATACAACCAAGGCTAGCATG